ATTAGGGAACCGGATCACTTATTTGGCAATTCATGAGGGACTGTCATATTTGTTTCACGGGCAAGGAACGTTTTCCGTCGGTGGTCACGTGGGTTATTTTTCGAAAGAAACAGCCGAGCTCAAATGTGTTCGGATCAATGCACACGGAACTGAGAAAGCGAGAGAGATATTACAATGACAACCGATTATGTAAACCGAATGAAGAAATTCAACTACTTTGAGGGTGCATTAATCAGTTGCTAAACTCATAGGGTACAGTCAAAGCACTCGTTACAGATGAAATCATCCAGGTGCTGAATTTATGGCATCAAACCTCCCTATGTCCGAGTTAGAACCATCAAACGTTCGGTCAATAGCCCCTGATGATAAGGCTTACCAAGGATAGCACGAATATACAGCACTTTCAGTATCTTTGAGTCACCAGTTTGACTCGGTTTCAGATGATGAATCAATTTCGAACGACAGTATATACGAGATATGATAGTTATAATGGAATGATCGTGGTGTGAAGTGAAAGATATAAGAATATCAGCTACGAAAAAACAAGTCATTCTTAATCCAGGTTCCACAAACTAATTTATTATTTCATCACCCCTTCCCTGCAGCGAACTTGTTCGCTTTATGTTGCTGTTCCCTGTTAGCAAGGACGTTCAAAAAATGGTTCTGAATATAAAATAAGGCGAAATAAACTGACCACTAGCACCACTCACTTTCCCAATGGCTTTTGTAATATTATTAGTAGTAGCTATTGCGTTCAAACAAACTTTACGTTTTTCTATAAATAAATCCAGTACTAATTGATGCAGTATCGTGTAAACTCTTGCTCTCTGTAAACATAGGATGCAATCCACCCTAAGAAATTTCTATTTTAGTAAAAGTTAACAACTTTTCCTTCATAAAAATGGGCCAAGAATAACTTCCACACTGATGATTTATGGACACTTGCCAGCTTTACTATCCTGATGTAAACGTTGCAACGGTTATTGTGAATAAACCTATCCAGCTATAAGATTATACGCTTCTAGTGCATTTTCAATAGCCATCACTGCAGATACGAACAGTCTTTGTGAAGAACTAAACGGTTACAGCAACAAATAGAGAGGTCACCTAATTCTCCACTATCCGCTGATAATGTTGGCTATGAGATCCGTGGGTCTTCCATCGAACACTTGGATCGTCCACAGCGTTCAGACGTGCGTGCGAAAATGTACCATCTGATAGTTATCTTAAAGAGAAGGCTTGCTACCTGTCTTGAGCACAGGACAAGGTGAAATTTTGTCAGGGTGCAGGTATATGAACCAATGGATGTGTTTGCTCAAACGGAGTGTTTGTGGATAGAAAGTTGATGACCGGAACATTTAAAATTACAACTATACACGCCCGAGAAGAAAATGTGGCACATACTTGTTCAGTGAAATGTGGGAGTTGAGTGCGTTTGCTCTGTTGTAGGCGCTGCTCTTTAGATCATTTTAGAGTTTGACTTTAACCATTGGGCGGCAGGTATGCTCGCCGGTGTTGCTGATACAAGTTCCGCAATCATCGCGGTGTTTCTTTCGATTCCATTGTACAAATAAGCTCAGTTGACTTGCTGTACTCAGCCTCAGTTATCCTATTTGTACTCCACTACAACACGTATGTAGTATTCTGCTGAATTAGCTATGGTGCTGTATTTAATACTCCAGAGACCGATGCATAAGTCCCAGAGTTGGCACTGTCCTTGAAAGTAATCGATACGATTGTGAGGATGAGATGTGTGNATTGTTGTTTGCGTGATGTAAAACAAGTGAATCCAGAGAATGGTGCACTATTTGGTCTAATCGACGGTGTTTAACCACCCAGTTTATTTTACAATTCATCAGTAAAAACTTTAAAATTATATCCAGTTATATTCAGATAATACTGAATACTGAATATGTAATAGGGTTTCATTTACTGAATTGCGCACATTTCCTTATACTACTACCAATTCTGCATTCTTATACAAATACTTTCTCCGATTCGTGATTAAACTGACATTGAGATACTCAGATAACAAAGCACATGGATTTTCGTAAACAATGAAATACCAATTTAGGACGTTTCTGTTTTTTCCCGTACTCATTCACCAAAGTCAACATGTGTACACTTTTCTCATTGCGAGGACCTCACTTTTATGGGAGTTCAACAAGTAACCGTTGATTTTATTTATGTTGTTTTTATTGGTGATTTTCTGCATCATGGTAGATAAACAGCACTGGATGGTTGCCTTGTCCGTTGTGGGACTCCGTAGCAGTGAGTGCCATGTCTACGCCTCGTTCGGAGCCTAAAGTAAGAACCTCCGGATAAGTAGTTCAAACACTTGCAGTCGGGCTACACGATTGACAGATTGGTATAGGTGTTCTTAGTTGAGCTTATGAGAATTCACAGCCTACAAGTTGTTGAGAAATACGAAATATTTTCCTCAGTGAATAGCGTCACTCTGAGAATGGCGAGCAACAAACTTTAATCAGTACCTGAATGTATCCCCTGCGACCTGTGTCACGTAGTTGTACATGAATCCCCTGGGTATAAGGAATGAAAGCGTATCAAACAGTGCAACTAATACTGGTCAATATCAACGTAGAGTTATTAAGTAGCCCCCTAACAAAAACGCGTTAACTGGCACAGTAGAGACAACATCAAATGCTTTTCATTATATCCCTTAGCATGATCTACCGTAGGATGAATTAACCGTAAACACGTAAGGATCTATTGTCTGGTTATTGCAATAAGCTACTTAGTACTTGACTGGGACCTGGTTTGGCGACTTACATAAGGCTCCGATAGGACAGACAATAGATGTCGAACCAGACGATAAGAAGTTTAGGTAACAGTGATGAGGTTCTCTGAGTGAACCTCAAGCATTCCGCATTTGACGATCAATTTGTTATCAGTATCGCGATGAAAACAGTGCAGTAGTAAATAACAGCGTGGATGGCATACATGCAAACCTGTACACCAACGATTCGACGATCGTGGTAATGCGACTGACGCAAATCGAGTAGTAATTGCGACGGCAGAACTGACGATAACCAGCAATTTATTTATGCACTCGATCCAAGTATACTTAGGTGTTCAACCACTTGAAGTGGAATGCTGAAATAGCCGATTGGGAACTAACTGATTCCTTTGATCTTCTATCCGAAAGAGAGTCATAGAACGAGAATTGGTATGTCGCATAAAAAGAAACGTACCGGTGATTTACACACCGTAACGTTGTCAACAAATGCCCAACATGTATGCGACAGAAGTTAGTCACACCGTTTTTGTGAATGCCATTATTATCTGTTACTTTGATTCACAGATTCCACAGAAATAGAAAAACTGAACCGAAATGTGCTTTCTGTCTACGGCTTCCTTGGTTGAAGAACTCCCAAGGTGGCTATATGATTCTCAACTGTGCCACTGGATTTCGGTGTGTTTTTTTTCTGCATAAATCGACAAACATATTTTAAAAGCGACCATCAGAGGAAGTCTTTGTACAGATCAGGCTGCTAACCTTTTACAGTCCAAAATTTCCGTTCGGTTCATATATGCGGTTAGTTTTATCCACTCTGTCGGAAAATAAAATCAAAACGTTCCTTTTCAAGTCCGATAACCATGCCACAGAAGCATGTGACGATTCGTTTTCATTGGATGCTGTGTCGCCCTGGTTTCGAACGCTTTTTGTTCCACCTAAATGGCAGCAAGTTTCAAATCATAACGTATCGTATGCGTGTGATTTCTTCTTGTTCCAATATTATCTTTCCTGGGTATATTAGTTAATCACGCTGATAATATAAGTTGAGACAGTTGAATAGAGAGCGATTTGCGTCCCACTTACCGAATGATGAAGTTGAAATATTCATGTTCTTCCAGCTTCGTATACTAGTGGGTATTCAAGCAGAATAGCTCTATCGCATTTTCATTTAAATTGTCCTATAGAATGTTTGAAGAGGATTTAAAACACCACAATCGGGAAACCATTCAAGCAAGAAGAAATTTGCGAAAGAATTTGCTTCGTTAAATCTCCTGAGAAGGTTAAAAAAACATCCTAATATATTCTAAATGTCTGATTTCTTGTTCCGTTTTCCGTTCACAGAATCACTCAAAATGGGTAAATTTCATCAACAGCTCACTCAAATTTTCGCCCCGTTGGTTGTTCGCTATGTGGATTTAATGGAAGCATCCATAGCCCAGTCCATTGGTGTTCCCGACAGTCCCACTCGAACTGGTGGTGGAGCAGGTGTTGGGGGTGGCGGTGGAGGTGGAAGCGGAGCAGGTGGTGGCAGCAGTGGCGGTGCATCTGGTACACAGGACAGTGGTGGGGCTGCCGGATTTGCAGCTTCTGCTCTAAGTAATGTGGGTGCTCTTTCGAATGTCGGTTCTTTGGTCTCGGCTGCGGCAGCCGGTGCGGCTAATGCGGCCAGTGCGGCTAGTCGTGCTGGTGGTCTGATGGCTGCCGCAACTGCTGCGGCCAGTGCGGCTAGTGCTGCAGCCACATCCGGGCAGAGTGCTTTCAATCCGACACCAGTCACATCAACGGAACTATTGTGGAAGTTGGAAGCGCTTCAAACGTTTATTCGTGAGCTTCATTGGCCAGATGTGGTTTTCGCTGAACATTTGGATAATCGGTTGAAAATGATGGCAGCTGATATGATCGATTCTGCAGCCCAACGGTGAGATGGTTTCGCGATGAGGAATACCTTTGTTTAAAACCTCAATTCGGCTAGGCTAGATGGGTGGGATGGAATTGCATCATCGATTGAGAAAATACTCCGCATTTTGTGATTTTAATATGCGTTATTTTAAAGGCAATTGTGTGTGCGCCATGAACGATATACCATAAAAACACAGGTAAAAATTAATGAATATGCATTCAGCATTGACATGTTAGCTACGGAAGGCACGGTTGTCAGAATGAAACGGTTGATCAGATCATTATCATACTGTCCAGTGTAATTATTTTCAATAGACATTATAGCTCATGTAATTAGATGAGACTTCAAAAGCTTAGTATTTCCTGAAAAAATGAATAATGCGTACCGGGGCCGAGTGTTTCAATGGTTCGTCAACAACAAAGCTGTGGTTCAATCTCACTTCAACTGTGTGAGACTGTATCAAATGGCAAAGTACCATCACAGCTAAAAAAACGGCTAAATTTCATGAAATAGATTTGTGATGAAGTGTTTTAGGGCGATGGCCTTTAGTGGAGAAAGGTTCATCATTAGAAAGAAAATATTTTTGTAGCAAAAAGGAATATTGAACCATTCGTGAACTGGTTGTCTCCTATGAGCTCCTAGTTAGTGATAACTACTGGCTATTTTGGTGACGGGGATATCAAATAATAGACGATCAGATCATTTCCAACTTTACAAGACCAGATGCAATTGGTTTCAAAACCAGGAGAAGACGTTTGATTTAGTAGGTGAACATTGAATACATATCGCAGGTTAGACGTATACGTAATTAATTATGCGAATATAATCTACCATAGACCTTTATGTGCGATGAAAGCACGTGACATTCATTTGCCTTCTCCCTCAATTTTGATTTGGCAGCAATCTGTCCTGTTTTGAGACGTGGCTCAAACGTGCCTCCAGAAGCACTGATTTCATTCTGCCAAACGAATGTTGTAATATGATCAATACAGTGGCCGACTTGAAAGCGAGTATTCTAAAGCTGTGCACCAAAGATACCAAAGGGGAAGACATGGTAAGTTTGGAGTATAACTTTGTCGCATTTATGATCTCGTGTGCAAATGTCAATGAGTCTTGAATGAAAAATGACTGCTTTTTCGGTACGTATGCGTAGCAAACATCTGGCCCAATGATTGGGCAATTGTTTGGATCACATTCACTCATCTTTTGACTCCGCTAACACGGGTTTTCACACAGTTGGGTTAATTCACTGATCTTTGATGAAGAAATTTTCATCATTTGACTCGCAGCTACTCGTGAGTAGTAAAGTAAAATTCGTTTCTTTTTTCATTCGAGTCGGTGGGTTTTCATTTGGACAAAGCGGAACACCTACCGCATGGTTTTTGGTCGCAATCAGGACAATTACTGAATGGCTGTGAATGAAGACCAGATATGAGAAAACTTTAATCAGTTATTCCGATCGACACTAGCGTGAGCAGGACAACACAACCTCCTTGCAAAGGGTCTAGGATTCACTTCCGAGACCAATGTGGGACACACCATTGACCACGTCTAACGAGAACCAAACAAGAATCTCGTACTTATTGATTTCATAGTTAGCGGGATGAGCTTGTGTTTCTATGAATATGAATACTGCCGAATGGTTACAACAAAGAAAAAAGTAATTTTTCAGTCCAACCGGTAATTTTGAGTCAACGTACGTTTCATTATTTTGTCTCGGGAATACCGCCCGGTGAGAAAGACGAGCGAATTTCGTTGAGAAAAAAAATTAAACGTTACATCATCTCTCAACGATATTACAAGAATCAACAAATTTTTAAACGAAAGGTGCTTTCTGCAACCTATTTGCTGATCTTTAGACACGCATACCTTTGCCCAAAACCCCAATGCATGTATCACCCACATTAGGTGTGCTGAAGAGAAACGAGCCCTTGTGTACACGCAGCTGCTACCTTTGTTTTTCCTCCTTTCATTCTGTCAGTACAAATAAAATGAGAATTTAAACTTGTACACTTTTAGATTTATCTTTTGAATCCTACCACTAGTCTTAACGCTATCCTACTTCGATAACTCTACAACACAGTGAGCAAACAAAATATTTTTCAGTGATTTCATATATCATAAAATAATTTGAAAATGAAGTTCTGGTGGCAACTGAGGAAAAAGCCTGACATTCTCTGGAATACAAAACAAAAAAACGTGTGCCTATTTTACAGTTGACATAGAAGAATACAACTGACAGCGAGCTATCATGGTCACGCTCCTTCGGAACCAGATTTCCTGCATTCTCCGATCACCGAGTGATACTCAGACATCCGAACCAGTATGTAGAGTGGAGAATGTAGTTAAAAATCAGGTTCGCACGTGAAAATTCACCAGCTGCGTTTAGTTTTAGAAAACCGGAGATCACGAGATATTGTCCCATGTGGACATTATTTGTAAGGTAAATGTGACAACCACATGGTCCGTCAGTTCCTCGGTACGACGCCAAAGTATTTTTTCCACATCTTTTCTGGTACTCCACTTACTGATGTACAAAGTTATTCTTATACCAAACCCGTTTTGGAAAAGAGCCATCTCAGTTGATCTGCATTCAATCAATTCGCATCCTCACAGTAGGTAGCAGTTTTTAAAGTTCCCAACAGGCACGCCACTTGCATCAATTGCAATGAAAAATGTGCATTATAATGCAGTGGATTTGAAAAGTAGCATCTAAAATATTTCCACTTTATACTCACCATCGCGTCCTATGTATTGCCATCAACATTGATGTTTCAAAAGTCACACATTCTTGGTCCAGCCGCATCCAGTTGAGTGGACAACTTTACGGTTACCACTTGGTGTCAGACGGAAATTATTGACATCGTATACTTCTGACTTTTGAGCACTGGTGTTGCTGCTCATTCCTTTTTTACTCTGTTCACTATGACCAGGAAGTTGTGTATTAACCAGAGGATCAAGATTTTGGGAATGTTAGTATATCTGAGGTCTGAGACGAAATGATTCAGTGTTTCAAGCAAGACAAAGCAGAATGATATGTGGAGCGGAGAGTCTGTCAAAGGACCTACTGTTACCGCGTGTTGAATAAGAAAATATATCATCTCACTAGAAAACAAAAGGATGACAAACCAAGCGATGTGGTTTTCCAATAGTACACGCGTGTGCGTTATCAGTACGACGCAGTTCCCGTAGTAGAAAAAACGTATCTGCGGAAACTCTGTGAGTTTTACACTTTCAATTCAAAGTATTTGACTAAACAGACCTCATCAATAGACCCCAAGAGGAACGGAGGAAACAATCCATTGCCTTTTATGGCCTTCAAAAACCACTGAATCTTGTGGATGCAATATATGAGTCAAATGACCACCCAAATAATGAGGCCCGCTCAAAACAAGCAGCAGTAATCAAACTGTGGACCTAAACATTCTAGTGGAATTAAACGAGAAAGTTTTTCGCCTGACGGATAGTTCAACTAATAAGATAAAAGATTTAATCAAATCTCTACAATCGTTATTCTTTGGTGTAGGGTAAGGCTCAGTTTTGAAGTGAACTAACTGATTTCAGGTGAAAATAAAGCTACGCAGATATGTCCAACCCTCAGCACAACACATTTTTTACTCCGAAGAACACTAGAACATCATTACCTTGCAGCTGCCAACAAAAGCAGTCAAGGAAAGAATCATAGTCGTTTTTCGATGCAATACAATGTATGATAAATCTATTCTATGGACAACAGGAAAGTCTGAAAACTGCTGTTATTTACGTGGAGTTAGACAGGAAAAAAGCTTCGTGCATTTCCAAAAATTTTAAGAATGCGCGAATTGTCTGGTCCGAATGACGATCAGTTTTAATTTCTTTGGTGAAGTCGTTTTTGTACCAGTTTTTCCAGCGTTAAAAATTACATATATTTCGACGCTGTGGGGTACAAGTCCAATCCAGTGAATGGCCCATGCACCTCTGTTCAGGAATGGGACAGATTCCTGGAATAAGGGACAGTGAATAAGGTATCAATCAGCTAGTCAATTGGGATTTTTCTCAAACTGAATCAGCTTTTGTAGTCTACCTGAAGTTTAGAGTCAAATTTTCGATCAAAACATTTTGCCTTAGTTGAAATATATAAGTGTATTTTCTAATACAACAAGCATCGTTCAAACGTTGATGTTCTTTGCTTAGCACTCATCATTACTGCTGTAAATTTATTTTTCATTCATGGATCAACCGAAAGTGAACTATGCGTCCTTCTGAATCCCTTGTTATGCTATGTAATTTCATCTAATTTTGATCAGCGGAATTTAAGTGTTCAAGGTGGGTTGGCTGAGCACTTGAAGCATGTGATATTTATTCCTCTACCTTTTCTAAGTCGTGAAAATTTATTATTGTATTACTTGACTCACAGTATCAAAACGGACGATTATGAAAAAGATTAGTGGAAAACGTGCTTTGTATTAATAAAGATAATAACAATATGGACTCAAGCGACCAAACAACCCCGAAGGATTGATTGTTCCACTGCCAAAAACGAAGTAACTTGAATTTGTCTTGTCCCCCCCCCCACGTCTGCATTGATCCCTTCACCCGCGGATCAGCATCAGTATCACAATCAAATTGAAACAAATCTGGAACGGATTCAACGAAAAATGGCCATCGTGTTGAACGACAAGATGAGCAGTGTGCTCGAAGGCAATTTGGCCAAACTTGCGCGATACGATATGAATACGTTGCTCTCGTCCGTGCTATCATTGGCGGTGAGTGAGTCTGCATCTTTCGGTACCCATATTTTTGATAAACCCGAAGGGTGCATGAGATTTAACTGGGGAATGAAAAATTTGGGCGGTGCGGAATGTATAAGCTCATCCGATAATCCCCAATTAATGGTACTTGTGCCAATTTTTCGACATTTAAACGAGAGATGTGCAACATTAGTTTCAAACAAATCAAACACAACAGTAACGCAGTGCCGGTGTACTAATTTACAATTTCATGGAAATCAACCATTCTATCTGAATCGTCCTATTCTTTGTAGTTATTCGGCGTTCACAGAAATGCAAAAGCATGAAATTTGTTCGAACTAGGCTCATCAAAATGGTCGTGATATATTGGATATTTTCGTCGTACATTGTAGAATAATGCTTTGATATTTCTGTCTATTTAATTTAAAGATGTATTATCGGTGCTAGTTTCATCCTGAACAGTTGACTATCCTGTATGTATTCAAATTGTGCTGTTTGGCAAAAACTGAAATATAATTAATTGCCTTGTGTGAGTTTGTGAATCCCATCTAAGGTAGTGTTCTTGGAGAATCCAAACCTCAAACTGCTGTATTGTATTATTCGCTGGCACAATATATTTTAAACAGAAAACTCCGGTGTATATTTGATTCGGTGAATTTCCGTACATTCAAAGTTGGGTGGCTGATTCCGAATATTAAGAACGTCTGTGCCGTCAGCGTTCACACTGGTAGATTAATTGCTTTTTCGCAGTCCAAAATCCTTTTACTTCCCCTTTTTGTTTGAAACAAACTATTTCCTTCTGATTCTGAGATTTGCCAATATCATCCCACTCACACCTTTGGATGATCCGAGCAGTCGAACAAATATCTGTTATTGCGGGTTTATATTCTGTACACGGTGATTGCAATTTGACATGATTCCTGTGAGAGTCACGTGACTGTAATAGAAATTGATTCAGGTGTCTATTGTTTCCACAGGCTATGATTTTTCTACTTGAGCCGTTTTCACACGCACGTCTTGTCTTTTATTTTCTTCTCAAACCCTGATACTTAATTTCTCACGCTCCATGACTGCAACTTTTTCTCCTAATTTAATTTATCCTGTTCAAAGGTTACTCAAGGAATACACTCGTGCACGGCTTTCTTCTCGGGTTCATTGTTCTGACCAGATAGATGGGTTATTTCATACTGTGTTTGTAGCTGATTGATCCAGTAATATGCGGAAATCGCTCACTGCCGTCATGGATTAAAACGTTTTTGGGAATGAAGAACGGTAAAGGGAAAAATTGCATCCATTCCTATTATGCACACCGGAAAACGTACTCCATTCCTTGGGATCTGGTTAAAATTTTCGCTGTTTGAGTGTCAGTTAACGATCATTCGAATTCTTGAAATGGGTGAAATATACGTCAAAAAATGAAGGATGTAAAACTACCAATCTTCTGTTCAAATAAGTATTGTATTTCTATTATCAGAATTATTTGACGCTTTAATAATACTTTTGGTTGCCCTCTCCTCGTGAACTGTGCCCTATCATGATCATGTCGGTTGCAGAAACCAACGGACGAGGGAGCCAAAGCTTATGTGGAATTTCTGCGTGCCAACCTGGAACAAATGCGTCAGAAAGTGTCCGATGAACTCTACATCTTGTCGTTCATGGAGGTATGCTCTGTTATACAACTTTGCCTATTTACGAGTTTTTCCATTTAATTTTCATCTTCACAACTAGTTTTGTCCCAATTTTAGATCGTATTCCATGGTTTCTCCCTGTGGGGATAAGTGAAAAGTGACACTCACCAATAAGAGTAATTACCATGTGTTATACTGAATGATCATTTCGGGACGCCTTCAAAATCCCTGGAAATCCTTTGATAACGGTATAGAAAATGAAGGCATTTTTATAAGATGCCTTATTTTGATGAACAGCAGACAGGGAAAGCCCCATTGTCACGAGAACGTGCTGCTCAGTGATGGAAAAAGGTAACCTAACCTCCAGGACTTGGAGCGGTGAACCACACAAGGTTAGTTATGGTATTGAATTGGACGACAGCAAAGCTGCCCTTCACCAAAGTGGAGTGGCTATGGCGGGGCTCGAACCTCTAACCACAGGGGCCAAAANAAAACCCGCCGATTACAGCGATTGAACCACTGCTCCACCACCACCTTTATCCTAGAACGATGAGTGTTTGAAAGTAAAATGACTTCTCCATGATTTCATGTTATCCTGGGCGAATGATGTGACGTAGTCAAAACGCTATATGATAGTTTCGTTTCGAGTATAATTGTTACTTTGATTAACTGTGTTCTTTACCGTACCCCTAATCACACATTTCACGAATAAATTACAGTCACTCTCCTTCCATGTCACATCCCTCGGTGAATCGAGAATATGAGTAAATCGCAGAAGCTGCAACATCGTGCGTTGGTCAGTAGCATATGCGGCTAGGTGGTAGAAAAAATGGTTTGGGACATTTGCGACAAAATAAATGTGATTTCTGATAGGTGCAACAAGTAAAGTTTGTTAGTCCTCACGGGAAAACATGAACGTGATCGACTTAGAATAAATAAGATGAAGAAAGTCGGATGAAGCGGTGATTGAATCGGATCAAAATAGTTTAATGTAAAACAGGAGGATGTTTGTTGCTGACGCGTCTTTAGGTTGCAAACAGGAGGAAATTAAATTTTACCTCACTGCGAATAAGTTGGTATTGCTCCACTAAATTATTGACAGCGGACGATGAGTATCGGTGCCCGATGATGCGGTGTGCTTTCACCTTGCATGGGAAGGGGCAAGAAGCTAGTAAAGCCCTCTGAAAGCATTGAGATTTATCCGTATTTGTCCCCTAATTAAATAAATCTCCTCCCTTTAAACTGTTACCCATACAGTATTATCTATACTTCAAATCGCTCGGGGTGCACATTTAACGAAGAAGGTGGAGGGATATTACGAATAGCATTTTCTACCGAATTCCTAATGAATTCATCTTGGAGTGCCTTATTGGGTCGACTTACTCTCATTTGAGATGAATATGCTTAAAATAACACAGACACGAATAAAATGAGACATACGTTGCCTCCACCTTGAAGAAAGCCTAACCACCACAGTCCTAATCTAAAACTTAGTTATTCTGAAGGAAACATGACCACTGAAACGCATCCAGGTTGAAATTACTCTAACTAAGTTGAGTGTTGGTCTTTCAGAAGAATACTTCGAGAGGTCCATTGAAATTGATGCTATATCCATTCAATTCCATGTACATCATTATTTGTAATTTCTCTAAGTTTAACTAGTAAAAGGTAAAAAAACACTTATATGCATTCCTTTGTATTTGTTACGTTCATTTCAGACATGGTACATGACACAAACACGAATGATCAATGAGTGGTTGACGGAACGCAAAGGCAATGCTCTCAGTCCTTACCAGTTCACCTGTCTCTCCACAATTGTCAAGGTGAGTTAAACAAGACCCATTCGATTGAACCCCCGGTGAATGTCACTCATGTGGACTGTAGTACCTTTGTGACAAGCGTATAGTCGATCTTGAGGTATACACTCTCTGTGTCTGATAACGGGCCATTTTCGATCGGAACTCTGACGAGCGGGTTAGTGGCAATATCTCGTCAAATTTGCATTTTGTAATTAAGTACGCATTCAAAGGATTGCTTGGTCATATTTGATTTTGCCTTTCAAAAGTCTACGTCATATAATAATGATTTTCGTTTGAGCTTTGTTCGTCCTGAGTAAATTTTCTGTTCTACAATGTGCCATTCAATTGCAGAAAATGTACGCTGATTTCGAACTGCAAGGAATCAGTCCAGATGCACTGGACACCATGGCATATAAAACGATCACTCAACGACTTCAAGTAAGTCTGGCCAGTTAGATCAGTTTCAGATCATCTGTGCGTGATCGTAACTGGAAAGGCGAGATATGCCAACACACACACGCATACGATACCCCCATTCAACGTTATTTTAATTTATAGTTTATGATATCTTCATACGTTTTTATTTTTAAATGAAGACCAGTGTGTATCACAAAGATCGCAAGACTGAAGAATCAAGGACTTTAAACTGAAAAATGCTTACTTACCATCAAGAACATGCTTATTCATCAATATTCTTGGAAATTATCAAATAATTGAGTCAGTCAGTGCGTTTAGATTGAGTGGCACAAAATGTAAAATGGGTTATTTCCCTCATCCGCATTTTTGTTCGTGTTGTGAACGAACTACAATCTATTTGGTTCTTCACGCCTCAGCCGTTAGATCACAATGCATGCAATGATATAAAATTCGCAATATATTTCACAACTACATAACGGCATTTTCACACGATCTCCAGCAAAAACCTACATCGTGAATAGTTGGCCCAGTATGCAAGGTTGATGAGCTTACAAATTTAAAAAATACCTTCACTAGCAATATATTACATATTAAAATTTAAACCGATGGTATATATAACATTTATCACATGATTTGTGGTTAATTGAAAATGATTGCTCATAATCAATTATCTTGAGAAAGTTCATAACATTAGTGAGTGTATGCTCCCGTTCTCTATGCTTTATCTGAGTTGTAACTCCCGACACTTGCGTTGATTGTGCCGAATGTCAAAAGGCTTGACGTTGCCTTGACAAAGCTCTCACTGGTATGATAGTGCACAGTTGAGGAAGTAACGCAAAACAGATGCATTAAATCTGTCTTATGATAATTCTAGCTCTTTTCTATGTGAGAGTACCCATAAATCAAGCATTTCCCAATTAGTTACCGACAAGAATATCCAGAGCTTAGGCGTTGTCTTATTTTACTCCTAAACATTTACTACCAGAAAACTTGTACTTGGTGTCCATTATTATCATCATTGTAGATGGAAGAAACTGCTCTAGCCGTCCGTCCGGATTCCACAGCCAGTCCAACACGATCACTGCTGGGCAGTATCACCGGGGGATTGAGTGGTTTGAGCCACGCTCTTCCGAAACCCGGATTTCTCAGTAAGGGCTGATGTTCTATGTGAGAACAACCCCTAAAGTGTCTCACAGATTCAACTTGATGACCGTTGTACACCGAAACGTTCCCCTCCCCGTCTCTCATGTTTGACACACACTTATGTTCATACATTTTCATGTCATCATCTGATGCAAACAATATTTGCGGAGACTAAACAGAGATCGATTTCAAACTGTATTATGATACAATCAAAGTGGCAAACTCTAATTATCACAGAACCAATCATATGTGAAATTTGTCAGAGTTGTGCTAAAATCAAATTTGGACCATCCCCTTCCGCTCGCGCAGCACAAATTTCCAGTTTCATCCCTCTTAACTCATCGCTTCTCTATACCCAACAGACATCATTCCGAACTATGTCGGACCAGCTTGAGTACACAGATGAACAAATATTTGCTGTACACGAATGGAGCGCGAACATTTCCGCAAGCTACCTTTTCCTAAATCGTCTCTGTATGTATTCATTCACGTCTCATCACTACGGCTGCCGCCGCTGCTGTTAGATCGGCCAGTATCGCGAGTTGATTGAAATTCATGGTCTTACCTCATTCGATCGACTTATTTTCGACTGCTCAGCAACTTATACAATCGCTCGTGTTCAGCCAACCAGTGAGAATCTTTCATGCACAGACCGAAGAAGAGAGAATGGTATAAACGGGGAAATCATTGGCTTACAAGAAACAAACAAAGAACCTTATTTTCTACACATCGTACGCATCATACACAGGCAAACGTTGCACACCTACAGCCAAGAGCTTCCTGATTGACGGACCCGAATCAAAAACAGATTGACACTATTCGTAACCCACTCACCGAACCGATCTGTTCTCATTGGTCCAAGACAAATTCCGACCCCAATTGAATTGACCAACTACTATCATAACAAGACCACATGCTTAACGCACAAAACAAACCATTTTACGTGGAAAGATCATTTATTATGGGATATATGTCGGCATTTGTATCCGCTATATTCGGGCAGCACAGTCTCATCCGTTGAAATCTGCCCACTCTCGTAAACAGAAGATGATCCCAGACTAGGTTTATTGTGCATAAGCCATCCACCAGTAGCTTGTCGTTCTTGTATATGCCAATCCACGTCGTAAAGAGTTATCTGCTTTCATCTGCTTAACTCGCCCAACCATTCGTTGCATATTTGAACAAAGAGCTTCAAAATGTGTATATTTTTACGCAACAGTTTCGCAAAGCTTTACTCAGACACCTTCACTGATATCGCTGGGATTGGTTGGTACAAATGTGAAGATGTATTATCCACCTCGGGCCAACAACAGAAATCTGCTTCGAATGTCCTGTCGGACTCGTGTTTCAGAACAGTGTGCAACATTTCGTGTCACATTGCTCCAATCGAGTTCATCTACATGCCAATCCAATTGAAATGAATCAACACAATCACATCTAACTACTTTTAATCCTAGACTAATTGTTATTGTCCCTCTGCATCACGCAATCCAAAAATCAAAGTTTTATCATTGAAGATGCTGCTTCTTCTACTGCTGCCGATCTCATTCTAGTTCTCAGCTCTTCACGATCTCTGACTAATACACCAAATTGGTCGTGGATTGCTTCTCGTGACTCGGATTTTGTGCATCATGTATCACAAACGATCACACACAGTACTGGACCAGTCATTTCCGTTCACACATTCCCTCCCGCTCTCTCTCTCTGTCTTACTTCCGATTCATTTCCTCCGCGGCATCAGGCGCCAGCACCAGTATCTTCACTTACCTGGTCCAACGGATCACTTGTCATACATACACTGTACTATCCAATCAAAATATGCCACCGTGTCCCGACTCTTTAACGCGGAGCTTATGCCCATTGTTGCTCTCTCTTTTGTTCTTTTTGCTTGATAGACGGGTCTAGTGTGCACAGAATACGTCAGTCTTTATTTTGTCTATTTCCAATATCACGGGCTGGGCGGAGTTTTCTCACGTGATTCGGTCGCAAAACATTGATGCATGCATATGGAATCCCATTCACTAATGGACAGCTATATTTTTCAA